TATATATTTTATACTTGCATGCATGCATGCATGCATACTCTTTGCATAAATGCATTCATGCATGCATGCATACAGAAGAGATAAGATGCATGCATGAGCGCAAGTATCTGTTGACCAAACAGAGTCTGCTTAGACGCACAGATTGCAAGCAGCAGCAGCAGCAACAGCAACAGCAACCGCAGCAAATGCAGCAGCAGCAACAATAACAGCAGCAGCAGCAGCAGCAGCAGACTAACGTGTTGATCTGCTAGCATAGCTAGGAAGAGGAGATTTTGCTGCAGCCGCTCGAAGTAGCAGAGGGCCTCTCCGCAGCGTCCAACCTGCATAAGGAAGCAGCAAAGACAGCAGCAGCAGCAGCAGCATCAGCATCTGTTGCAGCAACAGCAGCAACAGCAGCAACAGCAACAGCAGCAGCAGCAGCAGCAGGATTGTGCATGCAGCATACCTTTAGATTCTCATGAACAGCAAACAGCATTTGCTCATTCTCTCTTAGTTTGCTTTCTATGAGTCTCCCTACAGCAGCAACAGAGACGCATAATGCTGCTGTCTCTGCCTGCTGCTGCTGCTGCGCTGCTGCTGCTGCTGCTGCTGCTGCTGCTCCTCCTCCTCCTCCTCCTTGCTGCTGCACTCCTGCTGCAGCATACGGTGGAGGTATGTACGCGTATGGAGGCTCAGTCTGCAGCTCAGGAGGATCCCGCCCTTGCCAACACATAGATGCCGGCTGCTGCAGTTGCGGCTGCTGCTGCTGCTGCTGCTGCGGTAGGTGGATACTGCTGGCTTGTGCTGCAGGGAGGGGCTGCGAAGCCGGCTGCTGCTGCATCAAGGCGGGTTGCATGCTCATAGCAGCAGAAGAAAGGGGTGCTGCTGCTGGCGCTGCTGCAGCAGACCCTTGAGTTGCTGCTTTGTCTGCTGCTGCAGGTAGCTTTGGCGACGACGCATCACCTGCAGCTGCAGCAGGAGACGCAGCAGCAGCAGGGTCAGCAGCAGCAGCAGGTGCTGCCCCTGCTCCCGTAGGAGTAGCTGCATTGGCTACCGCAATGCCCGCTGCATTCCCAGTTTGCTGCTGTTGCTGCTGTTGCAGCTGCTGCGGCTGATCTTGCTGCTGCTGCTGCTGCTGCTGCTGCTGGTCCTTCCCTGCTGCCTCCTCCTCACCAGCCCCGCTGACAAGAGCGTTAAAAAACGCGTCGATGTCTTCAAGGGTAGTCATCACTAAGGATAGTCTGCTGCTGCTGCAGTTGCTGCTGCTGCTGCTGCTGCTGTTGCAGCTGCTGCTACTGCATGTGCTGGTCCTAAATCAGCAGTAAGGGATGCTGCTGGTGCTGCGCTTAGTCGTCACAGTGGCTGTTTCTGCTGCAGCTTCTTTTAGTTGTGCTGTTGCTGTTGCTCTTATTTGTGTTGCTGCTGTTGCTGCTACTTGCGTTGCTGCGGCGGCTGTTGTTGCTGCTGCCTTTGCTGCTTGCGCCACCGTAGGCCTGTTGATGCGGTATCCGAGGCTCCCAATGTTACCCCTGCTGCAACTGCACCTGCTGCATGCACTGAATATATTGCTGCTGCCGTTTTTGGCGCTGCTCCTGCTGCTAATTGTGCTGCTGCTGCTACTACCCGTGAGGTCCTCGTCGTACAGCAGCTTGCGTTGCTGTTGCTGTTGCCGCAGCTGCTTCTTCCAGCTGGTGCTTCGCTGCCTTGGCACTGAACAGAAAAGAGAAGGATGCTGCAGCTGCTGCGTGGCTGCTTTGCCGCTGCTGCTGCTGCAGCTGCTGCTTGTTAGACGTGTTCCTGCAGCAGCACCGCCAGCAGAGAGTACATCCTGCTGAGGCGACGAGTTACGATGTCTAGTGTGAACTGTTAAATGGCTATGGTTTTATTCTCAATTATTTATTGTTCCTCTTTATCTAGGGTTTAGGGTCTAGGGTCTAGGGTCTAGGGTTTGCCGGTTGCGGCAGCGAATCGGGGCTGGGGCCCCTATCAGGGGTAGAGGGAGCGTTTTCCCCTGTTTTTTCGCTGTTTTTATGAAGGGAGTATTTAAATATGTTTATTTGAGTGTATTTTAATTGTTGTGTCAACACAAAAAGGAAAGAAGGAGGCAGCAACGCAGTCTTAACAGCAGGTGACTGCAACCCCACCCAGCAACAACCCTCGAAGCCTAGGGAGCAGCTGCAGCAACAGCAGCAGCAGCAGCAGCTTTTTCCTTCTTAAAATATTCTTCTTATCTCATTGCTGCTTCCCAAAGCAGCAGCAGCAGCACCAAAACCCTCTAGACCCAAAGAGGTGACCCCACACTGGGTCCTGGGTTTCTGCTGCTGAACACATCACACCCTTCAAGACAGCAGGAGCAGCAGCAGCAACAGCAGCAGCAACAGCAGCAGCAAGAATCTTCCTTGGCGAGTTTTCACTTGATTTAGTTCCTTTGGCCAGCGGTGCCTCAAGACAGTCAAGGTGGCCTGGGGGTTCCTTCTGCAGCAGCAGCAACTGCAGCAGCAACTGCAGCATATGCAGCAACTGCAAGAGCATAATCTACAGGAGCAACTGCAGCAGCAACAGCAGCAGCAGCAGTTGTGATGCCGCCTGTGCCGTACAGCTGGTTTGGGGAACCTCCCCGTAAACAAACAGATGATGTACAGACAAGCTGCTTCTGCCTCTCCTTACCAAATGATCCTCCCCCTCTCTTGACAGGTGCAGGAATCTTGCATGCGCCTAGAGAGGGTCGTCATAGGCAGCCGAAGCAGCAGCAGCAGCAGCAGCAGCAACAGCAGCAGCAGCGTCTCATTAGCGAGCTGCTGGAGGAAGCTCTGGAGGAGTACAGCGAAGATGAAGATGATGCAGAGGCAAGCAGCAGCAGCTTCAGCAGCACCTTCAGCAGCAGCAGCAGCAGCAGCCCGGCGCCACTACCTGTGGTCGTGCCTACTGTATTCGGTAGATACCCTTACGATGGTGCTGCTGCTTCTGCTGCTGAGGTCCCCTCTATTCTGTTGCGCTGCAAGCGCGCAGAGGAGCAGCAGGAAACTTTGCTGCGGGCAGCAGCAGCAGCAGTATCCGCAGCAATGCGCGAGCAGCTGCAGAGTATCTGTCGGATCGTGCGGACCCACGCAATTGTAGCGGCTTTCGAGATGCAGCAGCCTCTTGCTGCTGCTGCTGTTGCCAGCAGCAGCAGCAGCAGCAGCAGAGGCATTAGGAAGGGGATAGGGGGCCTTTGCGAGTTCCTTCCTGTTGTTATTATGCATGTGGGGGCAGACGTTGAAGATCATAGATTGGCAGTGCGGATGCTGCAGCTGCAGCTGCAGCAGCAATCCATGTGCTGCTGCGGTGCCAGGCGCAACAGCCGCAGCAGCCGCAGCAGCAGCACCAACAGTAACGAGGAGGACCTCTTCTTGAGGCAAGTTGTACTGAGGGCTAGTTGCTGCACCAATGCACAGAATGCATTACGTGCGGTGTATACACAGCTCAAGTCGAGCAGCTGCTGCACCACTTGCATCGGCAGAGGCAGCAGCAGTAGCAGCAGCAGCAGCAGCAGCAGCAGCAGCACGGCTGCGATGGAAGCTGGAAAGGATGCAGCAGGAGTTACCGAGGAGGTTGCTGCTGACGCTGCTGCTTCTGCAGCATGGGGGGAGCTCGAGCACATGTGGATGCAGCAGCAGCAGCTGTTGCTGCTGCGATGTCTTGAGGGAGCAGCAGGAGAAGACAGCAACAGCAGCAGCAGCGGATCTACTTCGTTCCCCACCCGACCTGCAGCAGCAGCAGATGATGATGATGGAGGATACTGGGGGCCTGATCAGAGCAGCAGCTTAGGGCAGCTGTGGAGGAAGCTGCTGCAGCAGCACAACAGAGGCTTTTGCTGCAGATGGAGACGCAAGGGGGAGGGATCCGCAGTGCTTACACGTTCCCAGAGGGCTGCAGGAGCAGGCAGCAGCAGCAGCAACGAGAGCTCCTCTGGTGAGAGTGGAGACGAAGGAAAGCCTAGCCCACCAGAGAGATCCAGCAGCAGGAGCAGCAACAGCAGCAGCAGCAGCAGCAGCATAAGCTTCAATGCGTTGGTTATTGTACTGGAGGAGCTGGAGGCATTTGCCCCGCGGGTTCTGTCGCAGCTGCTGCTGCTGCTGTCGCTGCTGCGGTCGCAGCAAGGAATCCCTGTGGTGGTGTTAGCATCTGCTGCAGCATCTGCTGTTGCAGTGCAGCAGCAGCTGGATCCGGAGACCTTGCGGCTGCTGCAACTGGATGCAGCAGTGCTGCTTAGGCCTTCTGCTGTACATGATGCGCTGCTGCAGCTGCTGCTGTGCTGCCCCGCAAGCAGCCTCTTCGTGCTGCCTGCAGCAGCAATAGAAGAACTGCAACAGCTGCTGCAGGAGCAGGGGGCATCCGTGCTGCAGGTGCTGCGCATATCAAGGATGCTGCTGTATAAGTTCTTTGCGGATCATCCATTCTCCTACCTTGCCCTAGATGCACGCGCTGTGTCTGCTGCCAGCAGCAGCAGCAGCAACGGCAGCGAAGGCAATGGTGGAGGTGCTGCTGGCGCAGGAGATGCAGCAACTGCAACTGCTACTGCTGCAGGTGCTGCTGAGTCTAGAGGCCAGGCAGACCTTGAGGTTATTGAGAGGAGGCTGGCGCTACTTGCTGCTGCTGTACTGACACCGCAACAGGAGGAGGTGCTGCTGCAGCAGACGGCCAAGTTCCGGGTGTTGCATGCGGAGCTACGGGCAGCAGCTGCAGCAAAGCTCGAGTCTCCTTGCTGCAAGGCATGGAAAGCGCAACATCAGCAACAACAACAACAACAGCAACAGCAACAGCAACAGCAACAACAGCAGCAACAGGAGGGCTGTAACAAGACCCCAACATGTGCACCCATGAGAAGGGCTCTCTCTCTGCTGCAGCACTGGTGGGACTGTTCGGGTGTATCTGCAGCAGCAGACGAGCAGCAGCCGCTAAGCCGAAGGCGTGAGTCACTGCAGCAGGAGGTGCTGCCTGCTGCTGCTGTGCAGGTATTGGAGCGCCGCATTGCAGCAAGCTTAGGCATGCGGCTGCTGGTGGTGCTGCAGCAGCACGTGCTGCTGCAGCGGCAGGCATTTGCTCTTAGTGCCTCCGAGTCTGCTGCTGCTTTGTGCAGCCAAGACAGCAGCAGCAGCAGTCTTCGTGCTGTTGAGATGCTGCTGCAAATCTTAGGAGGCGCCAGTAGAAGCCCTGGCTACCACGACTATCTGCTGCAGGGGAAACCGCTTCCTTCTGCCGCTGCTGCAGCACAAATTGCCAACCCCAGTACGTCTTGCAGCAGCAGACACACAGGCCTCTTGCCACACAGTGTTCCCTTAGGTCGTGCTGTTTAGATGTTGCACACCATCAGTTACCTCCAGCCATGCTGCTGTGCTGCTGCTGTGTTGCTGCTGCTGCTGCTGTTGTTCTGCTGCAGTCTGTGAGGAGATGCGGCGAATTGCGGGGGCGTGCTGCAGTGTAGGGACGTTGGTTACCACTCTGGTAGCAGAAGCTCTTAGTGCTGCAGCAACGACGCGGCGTGTTGCTGCAGTGCCACAGGCGCTGCTACTCGCGCTGCAGCAGTTCAGCCGCCAAACGGAGAGGGAGTGGGCACTGCTGCTGCAACTCGAGGCGCGCATGCAGAAGCAGCAGCAGAAACAGCAGCAGCAGAACCAGAAACAGAAGCAGCAAGAAAAGAGAGCAACGGAGATCGGGAAGGCTGCGGAGCTCCTCAAGGCCATGAACCAACTCATTGAGCGGCTGCAGCAAACGTGCCAGCAGCAACAACAGCAACAACAACGGATACAGCAGCAACGGATACAGCAGCAGGCTCTTCCCGGGTTTGTTTCTGGGCTTGCAAGACGCGCGAGTGCAGCGCCTTTGTCCGTATCTGGGGGGTTTGGCAGCAGCAGCAGCAGCAGCACTGACAGCGTCTTCTGCAACCAATTTCAACGCTGGGCAAGGGAGTGTTTGCTGCACTGCTTGCTGCCTTTGCTGCAGTGGCATCCATTGGGCTGTGAGTTGGGTGTATGGTCATTGTCTGTTGCTGCAGCAGAACAGCCGCAATACTTTGCTGCTGCCTTAGCAGCACCAAGGGCCCCCACACATCGCGCAGAAGCAGCAGCAGCAGACACCCTAGCGCGGCTGCTGCCACTGCGGCCTGTCGAGGTGCTGCGGGAGCTGGCTTGCCTCAGAGGCAGCGCACTGGAGTACCACCACCAAATAGCAGCTGCAGCAAAGGGAGGAACAGATCCTGCTGCTGCACCTATCCCTGATGACACCAGCCTTATCTACCGGCGTATTGCCTTTGGTAGCCGCCGCATTCCTTTATGGTCTCTGTTTTGCCAGTTTTGTGCTGATGTAATTGAGGTGTATACGCAGCAGCAGCTGGCTTCCCGCCACCAGCAGCAGAAGCAGCAGAAGCAGCAGAAGGAAACAGCAGAAAGGGAGGCTCTGCTTACACTGCAGCGGGAAGCTGAATCATCCCTCCCCAGAGGCAGCAGCCAGAATCCGTCGCTGCTGCAGCACCTCTTCCTGCGGTTTGGTGTAGCTGTCAGTACACTCGGGCACTTAGGCCTTGTCAGGGTGCCGGGGTGTGGTATATCCACGGAGGAGTTGTTGCTGCGTACTGCAGCAGCAGCAGATACAGCAGGGAATGAGTTTGAGTTGGAGGAGGGGCAGCAGGGAGACGTGCAGAAGGAATCAGATGGTGAAGACGTCACACAACAACAGCAGCAGAAGCAGCAGCAGGACCAACAGCAGCACAGTGCCGTCGCCGCTGCATCTGCTGAGGCGCTGCAGCTGCAGCAGCAGCTGCAAGGGCTCTCCTTAACGCGCTGCTTCTTTGGCAGTGTCTACCTCCCTGACCAGTATGAACAGGAGAGTTCATACAATCCAAAGCCGGACACCCAAGCTGACCAGCAGCAGCAGCAGCAGCAACAGCAGCAGCTGCAACACCAGCAACAACGAAAGAAGGGGGGACGGCCGCGGAAGCAGCAGAGATCGTAGCGACTGTCCAGTCTGTGTATCCGCAATTGCAGAGTATGCAATTATCTTCTAATTTTTCTTTGGCTTCAATGCCTGGCCTCTTTGTTTGCCTTTATACTGTCTATACACCTGAATATCTAAATCTGCTGCTCTACCAGCTGCAGCAGGGGGGTGTCTGTACACTACAGCCCTAAAGACACAACAGACAAGGCCATCTGTCTATTTGGTAATCAGCTGCACATATTACAGGGGAAGACCCCGAGACAAGCTGCATGCGCTGCCTGCTTGCCGCAAGCTGCTGCTGCTGGGAGTGGCAAGGGCAGCAAGATAGCCCTAGAGAGTCTTCTGTGCGGGCATGCGTCTATTCTAACTTGGTTAGGAAGGGATAACGCCGAAGAAGCAACACTTAATGCCTCCTTTGGGTCATTAGGAGAGTTTCATGCTTTTGCCAAGGCAGCATGTGCATGCAAACTTAGGCAGTATAGGCACTTGTGCGTCAATCAGGCAATGTAGTGCTTCTCTACACATTCTCCGTGCAAGACAGATGTTGTGCAGCTCCCTACGCCTATATCTTCATGCGAATACAGCAGGAGTGCTACCCTCCTTTACACTGCTTAACTACTCAGCGCACAAGTTTAACGTATACACGAGGCAACTAATAACCCAGTCATCACGTCAGGTGTACACACTCCCTGTTCTGAGCTATTACTCTAATTACAGTGATTCCCTCGGTCTTGTATTCATACTGGCCTATGCTCTGTTCTTCTAGTGGGCTCCCTGTTTACACTCGATGCAATTTGCTTCTTAATAAACTTCCCCTTCAGTCTTCTGCGTAAGAGGTATAATGTCTTGCATTTGCTGTATCTAATCCTTCTAGTGTAGAATTGCCAAGGCTGGGGGGTAGGGAGAGTAAGGAACACACACCTCACAACCCCTACTTCTTTCTTCCACCCCCCAAAACAGGTTGAAGGAAGAATTTCTTTATGTTTAAATCATGTTATATACGAGATTATTTGTCTCTTGTTAAATTATTGCTTGCATCGGGGAGAGTCGCAACAGCTAGACAGAGCCTCACTGACGGACACACTCACCTGCCTGCTGCGCTGCTGCGGGACCCTCTGTCCAATACTTTTCAACGAGTATAAAAGCAAATTAGAAGTAAATTGAAGATATAAACACAAAGCATCAAATAACACCGGATGCTAGACACGGAAGCCGAGCTAAACCCATTGAATGGCCTAGACCACTGGATGCCCGGTGCTGCGACACCAGCCACCCCCCACCGACCAACGTGGCAAAATGCAGCAGAATGAGGAGACGCGTATTTAATTTATTTTAAAAAAAACAATAAAGTAAAGAGAGTCAGAAAAGGCTATATGTGGGGCATGCGCTGCTTGGTGGAGGCCCGCACCATCACGATATAGCCATTAATCAGAACTGTGAGGTAGCGTGTTTCCCCCTTGGCATTTGTGGTTTGTGCAGTTAACGGGTTTTATTGCCTTCTTTTTCCCCGTTGTATTCCTATGCTGTGTTCAACTGTTTAAGAAGAACCAGCTCCACTGTCCGTACACCCCTTCTGCTCATGCGCAGCGACCTACCATCCCGCCCTTCGATGCTACACGTAAGCCGCTCTGCGACCGCACGATCAACAGCAGCTGCTCCAGCTTTCTTTTTTCAGTTTTTCATGAATACAAATCATTGTTGGTTCAGCAGCAATCAGGGACTTTCGGCAGCCTCGCAGCTGGCCACAAGAAGCCCTCACCAGTCCACAGGCGTTGCCCGGTGACCCTGCCCAGCGGCGGGTTGGCGCCATGGGAGGCAAAAGCAGCACACGTGAGGCTTCAACTACACTATTAACGGTGAAAGGAATGGCTGGTCGTCAGGTGCTTGCAGATAAGTTGGCTGGATGTGGGGCTTTACGTTGAGGTCCTTGTACGATTTGGGAGAGGGAGCGACAGGCAACGGCCATGCATTCTTTGCTCATTTGGCCCTGCTTACAGTGATTTCATGCATGCCTGCGTGCGTCTGCTTCTGTAGCGTGTGACGCTGGAGGATACGCACACTGCGAAAGGGTTGAGCACGCGGAGTCATGTCAATCGGGGGACGGGTTCTGGTGTACCTGCCAGAAGGGTTTTAGCCCGCAGGGGACGAACCAAAGCTCCACGTGTGTGGGTAGGTGTTGGGTGTTGGAAATAGTAACTGCTCTAGGATGCAGCATTTGTCAGCTAGACACGAGCGCCCCCCCCCCCCCCCCCCCC